TCTCATGACCATTCGGGATTTTGAATTTCGAGATTTTGGAATTCGAGATTTTGGATCTTTCGGGATTTAGAATTTCGAGATTTTGGCTTTTCGAGATTTTGGATTTCGAGATTTCGTAGATGAAAAAACAAGACGTAAATTTATGTTATTTTTGCATGAACAGGTGTGAACACGATGTTCACAGTAGCAAATATTAAATTATATTTCGCTAAACAATTTGTATTCACTAAGTAAAAAATAACAGAATCTGAAAAAGTTTCAATTTCTCAAGAAATCACCAAATAATTTATTCTTGATTTCTTCGTAGTTAATAAATGCTAAATCCCAATACTTCTTAATCAATTTAGTGTGCTTAGGAGTGCCAGGGCTTCCTTGCATGTAAACAATACGGAAGTCTGGTACGGGAATACCATTTTTATGAATTTCAAATCGGCCTTTTTCAATTTTCGCCGTGTGTCGACCACCAAACATTACATCCAGATATATTTTTATTTGATTTCTCGTACCATTGCCATATTTGTAGTAGCGTTCAAAGGCTTTGGAGATACTTGCAGATTCTTTATTATGCTGTTCTAAAGGATTAACAGACACTTGGATGAATGTGTGTCCAATCATGAAATCGAACCGCGGATAACGTGCGAAACCGAGAACTAAAGACGTGGCATGCTGTGGACCTGGTGCGAGCTGGTCTTTTTCAAGAGCAATGAAATGTTCGAATTGAATATGTACATCTGTAGTTGGGTTTTCGGCCAGGTTTGCCGCCTTGAATAGTACATTACGATGGTTTAACATCTGCTGGAAAAGTATTTCCTCGAAATTGTCGCAACATAGTTGTCCATCTTTAAGAGACGGTACACTCACATCTCTGGGTAATGGGAAAGTCCGGTACAAATCTAAGAGAGCATCCAATGTAGCTGGGCACAGCGGTTTAAATAACACGAAATTATATTCATCTAGAAACCTATACACTAGTCCAGTGTCCAAGAACTTCCCAGTCGAAGCTTACACTACTTTCAATGTATGATAATTTTAGAAACATAATTGAAGGTTTTTGCGATAATCTGTTTTGTAGCAAAGTATCAAGTGTGTCGAAATATTCTTGCAATTTTTAGAAATTCATGACTTCGAAATTCACGGAAACTATTTAGAAATGTATCAAACTTGCCATCGGGAATATAGTTGCTGTTTAAGCTCTTTACATGTTTATCTAGATATATGAGCACGCGCGGAATGCAATTAGTAACTTCCTTCACCTTCGACACAATTTTTTCATGTCCCAGGAAGGGGTGAAGTATCAGCAGACTATCAAAAATATCTTCTGGTAACGGACCGACAAATTCAATCCATTCATATATACCATTTATCAGGTATTTTTTCTCAAACTTCGCGTGCGCTATACCAGTTAAGACCACGCGAGCTCCTAGACTATGTTCACTCCAGTATGTAAGTCTCATCATGGGTTTCAAGATATGAAGCCGAGCAGGTACAGGTTCATTACTAAATAATACGCCATGTTCATCGGCTAAAAAAAGGGTTTTACGATATTTCTGCTGGAGCATGTTCCAGATGGCTTCGACAAAAGGCACTGCAAAATCATCTGTTCTAATTGCCTCTACCAGTTTTCCGAGTTCAGCGGCAGTTAAAAGGTCTTTATTTATTGGCAAAAAAATACTTGGCTATCACCTTTGATGACTCTTCATCCGTATTTAAGTCCAGTTTAGCCATCTGCGGCATAAAGCATTAACCAATTTTCAGCAAATGCTTTTGCCGCAAGGAAAATTGCTATATACGATTTCCCCACTCCCTTTGGACCTGATATGATAAAACACGTTTTATTGAATGTTGTTGATCTTTTGAGAATGTTTCCCATAATTCAATCATCTGATTTATAACGAGAAATTTCTTTCCCAGGTAGCCTTGTGCAAAGTATTTTGGCGTCTGACCAAGGTTTGGCATTTCAATTAAATCACCAGCTTTAAGGTCTCGTAAGGTGTTTGCGAACTTGGCACGTGCTTCGGGTACGTATTCATCGCTGCAAAGGAGATCAGTAATTTGAGGTGGCAGTTCCACGGAGTAGCCGTCGGAGGCAATGTAAGTATTCCACTTCTTTCGGCGTTTATTTATAGAAGACTCTGCATAATGCAAGTATGATAGAGTTGCGTCACGTTCGTGTTGACCAAATTGACTAAGTATTGCGACGCAAAGGCTTACCGACGTTAACTGATGATCCAACTATAATTCGAATTTTGCTTCCTGAAACATCAGTAAAAGCATTTCTAACATTTTCTGATTCGTTTTCTAATTCATCGTCCAAACTTTCATCAAGAGAAATATTCCTATTGTTTTCGAGATTAGTTCACAAAAGCACAAGTTCTGTGGCTTTTACATTAAGAAGCTCTTCTGAAATAATTTTTTTAAGGTCGTAAATATCATTGTCTACTCCAGCGGTGACTTTGAAAATAGATTTATTGTTTTTAGTAATACACCAAAGTGATTTTGGTGCACCGATAATTTTAACTGATAACATTTTGAAAGAAGATAAATAAAAGTGAAAAAAAAGTTTCGTAGCAATCATAACATTAATTTAAAAGCTTATTTTTTACTGTGCGTTCGCCCAGAATCATATTATTCTCACCCGCCTTTTTTGGAAAGATGTGCGCCCAAAAATTGTCTGAATTTATTTTTTGTTAACAAAATTTTATTTTTTAATAAAATGTTAGCGTAATACACAATTTGCCACACTAAATATTTTATATAAATTTTACGTCTTCCGCACAACGAAATTTCTTTAAAAAATTACCATCTAAAGTTTAAATTTTTTAAAAAAAAGTATTTTTATAAAGCTAAATTTTTTTTTATATTATTTTATTAAAGTTTATTATGCAATTGTTTGATCACGAATCAATAATACATAATAAAATTTAACAAATGTTACATACATAACATTAGGCAAGTTTAGTTTTATTCTTTTTTCTTTTTTAATTACTTTATCAACTTTCTAGATGAGATAAAATATTGTAACACAATTCTGTGTAATCGCTTCAAAGTCACAGGGTTTCAGACAATACAATAGTGCTTTATTTGATCATTGTGATATAGTATAGTAAATGAATTTTATTTGCAGATCAATTTTTTTTTTTTTTTTATAATTCCTCACATCATTGTAAATATAATGAGAAGATTATAATTTATATAACTTATAATATTCTAATATTTACAATTTAAGAGTTGATTAAACCGGGATACAGGATACGATATGGATTTTTTTTTTGAGTTGGTTCAATTATTTTAGGGATGATGTCTTTTCTTTTCATAATATTGTCTAAATGCATATGTCTAAATTTGAATGCATCAATAAAAAAAAAATTTATTGTACGACACTTTTGTATTTACTTTGAGTATCAAGTATAAAAAGTATGAACGTCACATTTAATGAATTCAACTTTTTCGCAGCTTTTACAAATTAATTTAAATTATTTATAAATTATTTCTTTTACTATGATTTCACTAATATTTTTACTCCATGTTTTTGTATTTGGTGATTTTATTTTAAAAGCAAGTTCATTTGTCCCACAAGGACGTTTAGCTCACTCATCAATTCATGTAGGAGACAAAATATATTTTTTTTGGTGGGGCGATTGTTAATAAAAGTTCAAACGAAATATTTTATCTTGATGTTTCGCAACCATTTGATGCTGCATATCCGCCTTGGATTGAAATTTCGTTAATTTCACCCATTCCTTTTAGAAGTGCATGGGGAACAGTTTCAACCGATATAAAGAATTCTATTATATACTTAATCGGAGGGCTTCCCTTTCATCCAACTTTACATTCTTATGAAATCGAATCACATAAATGGGAAATTATACCTGATATAACATTATCAGAACTTAGGAACATACAAGCAGTTAGAGATGATTCGGGAAAAATTTATGTTTTTGGTGGACTTATGAACGTACCACAGATTTATACAAATAATATGGCTATAATTGATATTAATAGTTCTATGTCATTTGTTTCTCAAATGGGAGCTCCTTTAGCTAGAGTGCTTTACACCGCTACAATGTTACCTGATGGCGTTATAGTTTACATCGGAGGACAAGGACACAGCGATGCAGATGGGGACTCATATGTAGATATGAGTCAAATTAATCTTTATGATACAAAGAATGGTACTTGGTCATTAAAAGTAAGCTGAATAGTTATTTATATGACCTTACACTTCATTTAACTAAAAATTAGATTTTATTACCTTTATATACTAGGTTGCAATAAATGATGATAATGTAGGAGCTCGTTCGGTTCATTCAGCCGTCTTAACAAATAATACAATTATTATATTTGGTGGATTAAAAAATAATATAAATAAATTTGCTGTCAAAGCATTACCAGATTTGGCTATTTTGGAATTACAGACATTCAAATGGACTAAGCTGGAGCCATCATCAGTTATTAGTTAATTTCCATCACTGGGAGCTCATACTGCTCATTTAATTGGCAATTATATGATTGTAGCATTTGGTAAGTAATTTTTAAAATTTACAATGAATCATTTTATAATTTAATATTGATTGATTATTATTTGTAAATTAGGAAATCATTCTACACCTAATTATGAACCTTTGGAAATTTTGAATAAAAATGTTTATTTAATGGATATTAGAAACTTTACTTGGGTTAAAGCATTTGAACCTCCTCAAATCATATCACCCAATAATACTATTCCAACTTGCCCAACCAGCAAAACCGGTTCATCTAATTTAAATAAAGACGAGGATAATAAAAGTACACTGAAACTTGTAATTGCTATTTTAAGTGGGATCATAGGTATCGCGTTTTTCGTAGCTTTAGTATTTTTAATATATAAATGTCGTCAAAGAAATATTCTTAGAACCTAATGATGTCAATAAGCAATTGAAGCTGTTGGGAGTTAATTTCTTAATTTATTAATTTCATTTTATATGTTGAAATGTTATGAAATTGAATAAATTTAAAAGATTTGTTATCAAAAAATACAAATTATTGTGAAGTTACATTTTCCATTTATCGTGTACGTCATATCGTTCAACCTTGCCTTAAACAAATGATTTAATTTTGCTCTTATTTTTTTTTTTTTTGTATTTAGAGTACATGATTTAAAAGCGCTTTTATTGAAATAATTTTTTTTTTTTTTTTTTTTTTTTTTTGCGGAATAAATTAGAATGACAAAGGAACAATGGAAATATATTAAAATTAAATTATCTTTTTTTTTTTAATTTATTAGATTGAAATAAAATGATATTAGTTAGTTTAAACTGTCAATAATATATTGATGGATTGAAGGAATAAAAAAAAAAATAATAATAATAAATGATAATATATATTATCCGGTATCCCGTGATTTTTTTATAATTAACAATGACTATAATAAATCGTTTATCAGGCAAAAAATCATTTATCAGGCAAAAAATCGTTTATCAGGCAAAATATCATTATCAGACATTAATATTAAGCATTATTTATATTAATAAAATTACATTTAAACCTAATTAATTATATATAGTACAATTTGTAAAATAAGTTTTATTTATAATTATTTTTTTCCCTTTCTTTTTTTCTTTTGACTTGTATTTAATTCGGAAGATGAAATTT